CAGAGGCTGCCCATTTTCAGCGCCTTTAGAGTTTCCATTCAAGTGGGACAGGCCAGAGCTCAGCCAGGCAGGCCCATTCTTGTGGATAATGTGTCTTGGTTTGGTTCGAATTTTTACAAAATGTGACTAGAAAAATAAGTTCTGGGTAAATTAGGAAAAGGCCCAGCTTCTCACCCCGATGGACGGGAAGAGAACAAGTTTCAGATCCAAGGCTTCTTGCTTTCTGCTCAGACAAGTGGCTTCCAGCCTCCCCTGAGGAGTAGAATGGCCAAGCTACAGTGAGGAGGCTGGCCGGCTGGAGGGGTGGACTCTGGGCCAATGCTAGGGGACTCCTCTCTTGGGCTGACTCTCCCTGCCTGCTTATGGGTGATCCGTGCCCCTGCTCTGCCCTGGGAAGACCAGACTAAGAAGAACACCCACACTCACCTGATGGGCTCTCCCCAAGGGTGGGCTGGGATGGGGTACAGAGGGGCTGAGTAGACAGGGCCTCTTTTTCTTTTTAAAATGAGACCATTCACTCTCTGTTGGAGATGAACTGGGTTCCAGCTTCCTGCTTCCATGTACTTATCAGGAATAGCTGCTAGGTGTCTGCTCTGGTTCACTGGGACCCTGCCTTCCCAGGGCCCTGTCATTGGGGGGCCGGGGTGGGGGTGAGGTATCTTAAATAAATTGTGTGATCATATGAACTGCCCAGAAACACAGAGAAAGGGTTCGGCCCAGAATGTGCTGGGGAGTGGAAGGAGCCTCCCTGTGCCTGGGGAAGGGCGCACTGGAAGATGCCCCAGAGGTGTTGTCCAGGGAAAGGACGGGAGCAAGTTCCCGGCAGGGATGGGGTTGGAGGAGGGAGGGTGGGTGGGGGGCTGAGTTCATCAAGGCTGGTGCTGGGAGAACTGCGTGGGTTCTCACTGGCTGTGGTTGCTCAATACCCTGATTCATGGTGTTGTAGGGGACAAAAGAGACCCCAGCCCTCAAATATAGTTTACAGAGAACATTAATGATCAAGTCTTAAGCGGGACCAAGATAAGGCAAAGACACATCCTCTGGATAAGAGAGGCCATGAGCACCAGGTGTCCAAGGGTTCACAGAACAAGGCGACTTAGAGACTGGTCATAAAAGCATGCTTAGTGGCAGATGTAGTTGGGGGGGGGGGGGTGGGGTGTCAATGTGAAGCAGGACTGGGCCCTTGATTGGGACAGGTGCATTGCGTTAGACAGAAGAGCTTCTTAGATGGTCCAGGGACTTCTGGTCAAGGCAGTGTGGACATGGGAATTGATCAGCCGTGTCCATCAAGGACATCCAGGTGCTTAAGTCCCTAAGGGAGACTGCCCCTCCCTGGACCCCACAGGAATGGAGATAGTGCTGAGAGACTTTACAGAGAACATTAATGATTACATTAATGTAATCACATCCCTGGTTAGGAGTCAGCAGGCTCCGTGTGGGGACTCTGCAAATGGATTTGGGCTTTCACTGTTGTCCGTAGCCTTCTGCAAACCGGGTGCTCAGAATTTACATAACTCAAACGCACAATAGAAGGATCTTCATGGTTCAGGGGTTCCTGTTGGCTGATTTTTCAGAAGTAGGTTGCCAGGTATTCTAAACCTGCCTCAGTGTGGAAGCTTGGCTGAAGCACACAAGTTTCCACAATGACTGCCTGTGAGGTGCATGGTGAGGACTCGATCCCTGGTCTCCTGAGTGGGAGGTGAGGATTCTACCACTGACCTACCATTGCCCTCCATGCATCAAGTTTGAACTTTATTCTGGGGAGTCCCTGCAGAGAGGCTTTTAAAGCATCATCAAGTATGTTTTTCCTAAAGATCCCCAACAGCTGTCAGGAAGCAGGCAGACCCTAGACCCACCCACCCGTTCCCAGCAGCCCTATGGGTCAGAATAGAACTGTCCCTTAGGGCTTCTGACAGTGTGAGTCTATATAGGAGCAGACAGCCTTATCTTTGTCTCATGGTGGTTTTGAACCGCCGACCTTGGCTTACCCCACTGAGCCACCAGGTCTCCCTACTTCCAGGCCTAGAGGCCAATAGAAGGTATAGAGAGGTTGTCCAAGCTTGAGAGAAAGGGGTCGTGTCTGGAGTGGTCATGGTGGGCGTAGAAGGAAGGGAGAGGTCAGAGGGTAATTGGGAGATGGACCCCTGGCCGTTGGCCGGATAGGTCTAGGGTGATGCTCAGTCACTTATTTAAGCAGCAGGCCACACCCCCTGGTAGGGGTGGCCGTTGTGCTGAGCTCAGATGCCCGGCGACCTTCAGGACTGGAATCTGAGAGTAGAGTTGGGGTGACCCATCAGGGGAGACTGAGAAAGAGCAGTTGGAGGGGAGGAGTGTGTGTCAAGGGACCCCGAGGAAGTTTCTGGGGGTAAGCCAGGCCCCTGGCAGCCAGGTCTGCCTGTTGGGTGTGTGGCCAGAGGTGAAGTGAGAAGAGGGCAGGTGGGAGGCGAGGAGAACAGCGGTTTGAACAAGTTCAAGCTGCCCTGCTCTCCTCCGCCCCAAAGACAAGGACGGTTAATGGTTTCCTTTCAGGAAGTGGCTGGAGGTGGAGGAGGCCGCGAGAGGGAAGGCGCCTGTCTCCCAGTAAAGGGCAGGAGGGGGTGCATGGAGGAGGCTTGGGTTGGAACTCCAAACTCTAGTGTGTGTGTTGAGGGACCCCGAGCCACAGTGGGGGGAGAGCATCCCTTTTCTTGTGAGTGGTGGGTGTGTGGAGGGTGAGGGAGTGTGCCCTTCTGGTGGCTTCTCTGCTCGGAAGTGAGTTCACCTGCTGGGAGGGAGGCTGAGGGAGGGGCATCAGAAGGGGGAGAGGGCATCTTAGGGAGATGGGGAAAGCCAAGCTTAGCCCAGGCACGTGTTTCTCTGAGACCCTTGGCGGACACAGGGCCTGGTGACAGGAGCCTCTGTGCCCATTTGCCCAGCTGTGTGGCTTCTCCTTGTGTGCATGGCCAAGCAGGAGCAGACCCCGAGTGGTAGGTAGACCCGTCCTCACAAGCAGGTTGGACCAAGCCCACTTAGCAAGTTTAGATGGCCCGAGTCATGTCTGGAGGGTAACACAGGAGCTCTGCTGACAGGAGAACCGGGGGATGCTGCCCAGGCTCCGAGGGGCAGCAGGCAGTGAGCTGGGGTGGATAGAGGACAGCCTGATTCCTACTCATGATTGTCCCTCTGTGGCCACCACCTCATCCACTCAAGAGACTTGCTTGCTGGGGACCCAAGACCCCTGGGATCACTTCCTCTCTGCCCTCTTGGGTGGCCATGAGTTGGAATCAACTCAAGGGCTTTGAAAGAGCTCTGAGCGTGTTTCCTTGGCCAGAGGGAAAAGTGGCTCTTTGCTAAAAGGCTGGGCCCCTTCTAGCAAAGGGTTTGGAGGCAGCCGCGGAGCTGCACCAGGACACCTCCTGTCTGCGGAAGTGGTGACCTTAGGGGAGGATTGGGGGGAGACCTCTCACCTCTTCTCTGGGCCTCACCCACAGGCCACCTTCCCATCAGAGATCAGGGTCCCCACCACTTCTCTCCCCATGTGTGATGGCGGGCTTCCTCATGTGATATTTACCTGGCTAGGCCAATCTGGGTGCTTCCCCTTCTCACAGGGGTCCCTCTGAAGAAAGCCTTCTACCAACTCCATCTCGAGGGGAGGTGTGAGGGGGTTGCCGAAGGTCGCACAGTGCAGGGCAGGCCAGCACAGGGGCTCCCGCCCAGCCTCTGTCTCCTGAGCTCCTGCACGCAGTGACGTGCACAGTCGCCATCGAAATGCCCGTGGTCCTAGCGTTACTTATTTGAAACAGTGGCAGCAGGAAACCAGGATTTGCTCAGCTTCTGGGTGGGCTTGATAGAAAAGACCAGAAACCTAACCAAAGTCTGACGAATTGCTGTTGTTCCGTGACCCCGAGCCCCGCGCCATCCCTCAGCGTTCTTGTGTGGGGACCCCTTGTTGCAGATTAGCTTGAGTCTATTGGAAGGATCTTGCAGAATGTAGTTGGAGGGGACACAGCTGAGACTCAACTGGACAACAGGGTCCCTGGTTGGGTGTCTCCTGCCTCCTGTGCACCCTACTCTCTCATCACCCCGCTCTCTCATCAGCCTTCTCCTATCTGCTTCTAGTCCCCTGCTTCTCTCTGCAGACCAGCCACTTCCGCAATGCCAGCTCCCTGTCCCATCCCCACCCTTCTCAGGCAGGGGCCTAGTGTAAGGTGACCAGATTTTAACATTGGTAAAGTGGGACACCATTGATAAAACTCATATCCTGGCGAAATAGCCACATGGCAGCCGAAAACTATATACCCTAACTTGTCGTGCATTCTTTCCAAAAATCGGGATGTACACCTCGGGACGCGGGAAAAATTGTTAAAAATCGGGACTGTCCCGCCAAAAGCGGGACGTCTGGTCACCTTAGCCTAGTGCCACATGTCATTCCTGGGCAGATGTGTGGGGGTGGGGTGAAGGGAGAGGCTGAGGCAACCCACTGGGAAGGGCCCTATAGGTCAATATGCTTCAGGTCAAGGACAGTCTAGCAGCCTCGCCATGTGGACTTTACCCCAACCAAAGGGGGAGGGAGGAGCCTTTCTAGGGGGAGAAAGATGAAGCTGTCTGCTCCTATAGACATTTACGGCCTCAGAAGCCCTAAGGAGCAGTCCTACTCTGTAAGGTCGCTATGAGTTGGGATCAACTTGATGGCAGGGGAATTTGTTTCTGATGGGTGAGGAAACGGAGTCTCCTGGGGCTGGGGTGTCTGTCTGTAGAGGCTGGACTTCTTCCCCCACCCACTGCAGCCCTCAGCTCAGGCTGGTCCTGGGTCAGCATGGGTAGTGTCTTCCTTCAGAGGTTCCCATCCTGCCCCCACTCCATGCCCAGGCAGCCCACCTATAGTCTGCCTCCCTGGGAAGGACAGGTTTGGCCTCTGTGTGGGCTGTGCAGGTGTGGTACACCTCGAGGTGTCCCTGGAGGGGTCCAGCCAGCCCCTGCTGCAATTAGTAACCTGTCACTCTGTGTTTCTCCTCCCAAAGCCGAGTGTTTAAGACGGACATGGAGCTGGAAGTTCTCCGCTACACCAATAAGATCTCCAGTGAGGCCCACCGGGAGGTACGCTGGGCGCTGGCCAGTTGGCAAGCAGCGTGCTCTGGGGTGGGGGGACAGGAGGGAGCCAGATAGCACCAAAGTAAAGAGTCAAGGGGCAGGCCAGAGTCTCTGAGCTCCCAGCATACAGGTCTCACGTGGGACAGAGACATTGGAGCTGTCACTCGGTTCTGTGCCCCAGTGGGGCCAGCACCAGAGGAGCTTCTGCCCCAGCTTCACACATGCCATTGTCACGTGAGGAAATGGGGCAGGGCCAGACCAGGAAGCAGGGATGCTCCTTGCAGCCACCCCAGCAGTCTCCCAGCTGATTTCATCCCTTTGACCTCGCCCACAACCTGTTTTCAGACCGCCCGATTCCCCCCACGGGGCGAGACCAAATAAGGGCCTGCCTTTCTTGGAAGAAGTTTTCAAGAGTCAAGTAAGCCTGAGCCTCTTAAAACACACACACACACACACACACACACACACACACACACACCC